TGCAATTTTGAATTACCAGTTAGGTTGAACAAAGTAATAATCAGTACAATATACTAATTTTCTTCTCTCTTAAAATTTTGGTAAAGAGTGTCGCTTCCCGTCCACCCGCTCCGACATTCTGCTATTTTACTGATCAGATAGCGATACAAGAATCTGTGATATTTAATTCTCTTTAATGCAGTAATCCCGGAAATATGTAATGCAATCAAGTAAAAGTATCTGATCTATCACGATCAAGTTGAGAGAATCGTAAGAATCGTACACAGAACTAGTCGCGTTATTACTTAGCAAATCTGGGCAGTGAAATCGTACATTAAGTGTTAGCAACCGATCTAGTACAAATCCTGCGATTTGTGTTAGTGAAAAAGCGCCCCACCATCTTGGACAAAAATGGTAGAGCGGATTTTAAATGTCACTAACTCTTTTTTTATGTTACACAATCGTAAAATACGCTTTAGTTCAATGGGTTTCTTTTCTGAGTGATATCGGTTATATATTCCTTAATCCGTTGTGAATTTTTCCGATTTTAGTCTTCGAAAAAGCGCCCCACCCGCCCTCCCCATCTAGGAAAGCTGGAAAACGGTTTTTCCGGTCACTGTTTCTTAAAGATATACGTTTTACAGTTACACAATCAAAGTAGAATGCAGTTAAATCAGTATGCAAAGGCTCTCAGTCGTTAAATTTCTTTACTTTGACTGTTTATAATTCAAAACTGCGTCTTAAAATTAGCTTTTAATTTTTTTTCTACCCCTTTTGGCGCCCCCCTAGGGTCGGCGCCCGGGGCGGCCGCCCTCCCCGCCCTCCCCTAGCTACGCCTCTGGATCAATGTATAAGTAAACCATCTTAAATGAATGAAAGTAGGCTACAAGTAAGAAAGAAAAAAAAACAGAAAAAAAAAATATGGTTTATGTTTGGATTAAAGTTGTGAAAGATCATGGTTTGGATGGAGTTATGTCAGATGTGGTATTTGTTATAGAATTTTAAGTAAAAGGCGTTAAATTTAAATTATCGATTGTTGTTATGATTGAGGTTGTGATTCGTTTAATAATAAATTTAGTTTAAGCAAGTGTGAAGTGAATTCATTGAATTTTTGGGTTTGAAATTTAGGCATGATAGGAGCTAGAATTTAAGTTGAAATTTAGTACGGTGCATACGGAAATGGTGAAATCTGCTCTAAAAATGTATTGAGTAGTATATTTTGAAACTACGCAATATTTTGTAATTTTAAAAAAGTTGTACGCGGAGTTTTGCCCACTGGTGTTTTGGATATAGGGCGTTTGATCATAGGTGTTTTAACGGCTGGGGGCTTTGACTACACATGCTTCAACCATTTATGCCAAGGGTTATAAGTGGTATATGTATATCTTAACATGGTATAAAAGATGTTTAGTTATATCTCTAGTTGCGGCATGATATTATTATATATAATACTATTTAATCTTTATCAGTAAGTCATCCCTCAACTCTTATTGGGATAGCTGGGCATGATTTTTTGATAACTTTCTGCCAGCTGTCTCGGTCCTCTGCTGCTTGAGTGCATCTTCAACGGAAAGTTCAGTCAACTCTTTGATGTCATCAATCCCACGACGTCTTTTCCTTTTTTTCTTCTCCCTCGGGAAAAAGCGTCCTTTTTTGTGGTACCCTTTCTTGTTTTGGAAAGACTGCAGGTTCTTGTGATATGCCCATATCAACTCAATTTTCTTGTTTTGACAATACTCAGTAAACTCTAAAAGAGACCAATCGCATTAAAGATCAATCTTGAAACTATTTTTAAAAATAAAATTACACATCGTGTATAAATACAAGTCATCTAGCCGACGCAAGTCAAAACCATGGAGAATATGAAACGTCCCAATATAGGCCTACATATCGCTGTTTGTTGTCTTGTCGCCCTATCGCATGTACCAGATCCATATATTACCAAAGCGTGCATTCAACAACATCGATGAGGTGGAGATATTTTTCCAACACACATTTTTAATCGAGGGTGTCGCTTCTGGTGTAACCGAGAAAACTACAAACCTGCCTTGTTTAAAATCTAGAACCAAATGAAGACGTTAGGGCGACGGTGTAGACGAGGATGGTGTCATGTAAAAAACAAGTTAATTAAAAAGTCTAGTGACAATTTTAGCGCAATGTCCTTATGTTATCTAAAAATAGCTCTGTCGTAGCGTAAATCAAGAGCAGGGTTAGTAAAACCATTGGTTAGATATTAAAACGTTTTTTATTAAAAAAAAATTTCAGTATTTTACATGTTTTATTTACAATAGAGTTACATGACTAAAAACCATTGCGCGCCTAGCTACTGAACGTGATGACGCAGCCATTGAACGTGATGGTGCAGCTATTGAACGTGATGACGCGTGTGATGTGGTTGGAAAAAATGCCTACTAATTCGGTCCAAATTTTAATTAATTCAAAATTTTTTTTGTGACCGAACGAAAGGATATTTTTGAAAACTTTCTTCGGCAATATTGTTCTAAATTATGGCAGGAATCGACTGGTACATGTTTCAAGTCGCTAAGTGGTCTGGTTGCCGAGATATGGGCCAAAAACTGCTTTTTTCGATGTTTTTTGGCTTTTCCGGGAAATCCATAAATGAAACCCGGAATTTTTATAGCCTATGTTCATCCTCGTAACTTGCTTAACATAATTGCTTTTGGAACTAGTCATCGATATTGCTTCGTTGAGGAGGAGATACGACTTAAAGCTGCGGACACACATCCATCCATCCATCCATTCATACATTCATACATTCATACATTCATACATTCATACATTCATACATTCATACATTCATACATTCATACATTCATTCATACATCCAGAAATGACGGGTTAATAAACGCAATTCTCCAGAATGGAAATTGCGCTAAAAAACAACCTTTATTCCCACATACTATCAAACAACAATTAGCTTCCCAAATTGTCACAAGGTGGCAGTGCAGTCTACACCGGGAGCTCAGTTTAAAGGCTGACAGTGACACCTAATCGAAAAATGTATATTCTAGTTACCACAATGTTTTACCTCGTTAAAATAATACAACAGTAGGGAAAGGTGTGACGCCAAACCAAAAATACAAAATTTATGGATGGGTCGAAATTCTCAGTTGCTGCAACGGATGGCACCCGACTTCGTGACGCCACTGACCTCTGAAGATTGATTTTACTTTCAGTTATTTTTATTTCCACGTATAGAGACATGCAATCGGGAAAACCTCGTTAGTTTAAAAATAGATTTTTCAGAAATCATAATGTAAATGAACATCCGGGTGAGATCCCCGTTAAGCCATTCTTGTCAAGCTTCTACATCAGACGTTTTTACTTCCTCTTATACGAAATATAGAGGAACTATATATATATTATTATACTTGTAATCGTGCAAAATGCAAAAACAAAAATCGAGATTTTTTACAAATAGTCAGAAAAGCATAGGTTTGCAATTGTGTCCGTATTTCTGAGTGTGTGTGTATGCGTGTGTGTGTTTTGAGTATCGTTACAGCTAGGTTGATGAAATTTCATATATGCCTATTATTATAGAATCTAAGTATTATATCAAATTGGCAGTTTTTTTCAACTTTTCAGCGATTCCGGATAACCGGAAGTGTGATTCATTAAGAAGATGAAGAATTGTGATAATCTATTATTTTAGGTGCGTAAAATCGGCCACGGCTGTTAATGTGAAAAAAAACAACTACTAGATCTAGAATCTAGATTCTATATCTAGATCTAGAACTACATCTATTTTTAGAACTAGAGTCTTGGTATACATCATAAAATAAAGTATTAAAATTGAAGTAAACTTAGCTAAACTAATAGATCTAGATCTAGATCTAGTAGACTTGTCTTTTTAAATTTTTAAGTGGTCCTACTCAAAAGACAATCATCACAATAGTATACACACACATAATGTATGCATACAATCTATTATTAAATTCTTTGCATATAGAAAGGGAAGTGTATAATTTTTAGAGTAATTTTGAGATAAATGATTACTTTATTTAACTTTGTTTAATAACGGTAACAACAGTAGGTAAGCTACAATTTAATATTATATTAGGCCCTACCTAGACATAAAACTTTTTTCTTCAGGGATACCCCTGCCTGACCTGATGATTATGTTAAGTGTGTTCTAGTCTGATGGTTCTATGCTTGTCCTGATATAATGGTCCTATGCTTATTTTCCTGATCTGATGGTTGTATGCTTCTCCCTGTCTGATAGTTCAATGACAGGTACTGTTTTGCCATGGTAGAAATTAGATGCATAAAAATTCTAAGTTTAAAGTTATGTAACAGTTGTATTCCTACAATTTACTTGTAATTTAAAGTTTTATCCTTAATCAGTAGGCTAAATTATCTAAATAAATTGTTTTAATTTGCTAAGTCTTTAATTAGTTGCACAAAATTAATTATACATCAGACATTTGCAGATGCTTACCGACAGTCCAGATGATATTGTTGAATGCTGGTAGATGATGAAGTGACAGGAGAAAAAATCTTAAAAAAAAAAAACAACTGGTAAGGTGTAAAATAATAAAAAAAAACACTGTAAGTTTGAATACTATAGGTAACACAAATACAGTTCCAATATTAACAATTACACCCGATTATAAAATGTTGATACAATTCTGTATAGCTCTATTTGCAAGAACCATGTCACTTATATTTTATTATACATTTCACATCTAATTACTTTAGTGTCAACATCAAGTTGTTTTTATAAACAAAATGTTGTGTTTGTATAAAAACCGTCTTTAGCCTAATTGTTACACCATGTCTATTTTTATTGTAAATTTTAAAGTTTGTAATTGTTTATTTATTAAAAAAATTTACAGAAAAAACAAGAACAAAACTTTGTCAATGGTTGTCACAAACAAGAGAGAGTACAGGTACAAATTTAAATAATTTAATCATTTCAGTTTTATATTTTAATGTACTAAAGTGTCCTGAACATTTTATTTTAATTTATCATTTAATGTGTAATCTTGGTTTTTGTTTTTCAGATTAAGCAAACAAAATTAAAAGACAGTCGCATGTGCTATAATGAGTGATATTTTTATCCCAGGTAAATAAACATTTGTTTGAATAAACATTCTATCAAAACAGTGATTTTAAATATGTATTAGAGTATAACCTCTTTTAAGGGAAACTTTTATTATCACATTACTGTCTTTTATTCATGTCATGTTGTTTATATAATACATCATTTTAGGCTGCTTAAATACTTTTTTCCCATGTTCCTGTAGGAAATCATGAGGCTGAGATGTGCTATGGAGGAGAAGCTGATCTACACAAACATGTTACTGGCTGTAAGAAGAATCCAGGTCACAAAGGTTTTATACCTCTTAAAGATTTCAACGCAAGTTGTCTCCCCTCACGTTTCCATGGCGACGACCTCTTGTCTGAGACAATCAAAGCAATTGCAGCCATAACTGTCCAGGTAAAGACTAAATTCACCAGTCTAGAGAGACCAGAGTTTTACCCAGGCACTCAAGTTCCATATCCATGTTATAATGACAGAGGAAGTCACGTGATGAGGTTAGGGACAGGGAGGGTGAGGAGTGTGTACAAGTACACAGAGAGTGACAAAACTTGTCGTTGTGCCACGTGTCAAGTCTCTGCCACACCCAGCAAAGTGTGGGGGGTGGTTCGTGTGTTGACAGCCACACACGCGGTGTTTGATGACAGTGAGGCGAGACAGACCAGGTGTGTTTTACGTTTTGATGACAATAAAAGTCCAGTGGTCAGTCTTGATGGCTGGGAGATGACTGGGGCAGACATTGAGGGAGACATGTGTTGGTTGAGATCAGAGGCGTAGCTAGGGGAGGGCGGGGAGGGCGGCCGCCCCGGGCGCCGACCTCAGGGGGGGCGCCAAAAGGGGTAGAACATTTTTTACAAGCTCATTTTAAGCTGCAGTTTTGAATTATAAACAGTCAAAGTAAAGGAATTTAACCGCTGAGAGCCTTTGCATACTGATTTAACTGTTTTCTACCTTGATTGAGTAACTGTAAAAGGTATATCCTTAAGAAACAGTGACCGGAAAAACTGCTTTCCAGCTTTCCTAGACGGGGGGGGGGGGGGGGGGGCGCTTTTTCGAAGACTAAAATCGGAAAAATTAAGGAATAAATAACCCAAATCACTCAGAAAAGAACCCATGGAACTAAAACGTATTTTACGATTGTGTAACATAAAAACACAAATTATTGACGTTTAACATCCACTGTACCATTTTTGTCCAAGATGGTGGGGAGATTGGGAGGGGGGCGCTTTTTCACCAACAAAAATCGCAGGATTTGTATTGGATCGGTTACTAGATAACTATTTTAACATTTAGAAAATAAATGTGTTTCCTTCAGCTTGTTTCATTATACAATCAACCAGTCAACTAAATACCCATATCGTATTCCAATGTGAACAATAATTTGCTATTGTATGTCAATTGTATGACCTTAATCTAACAAACTTATAATCCAATTATATACTATATCATAATAGAGACTGTTCCAAAGATAAAACATAAAAAGACTGCCCTAAACGAATTAGCACCGCTACAATTTTTTTTCTGACATTACTAATCATCATCTTTAAAGGATAATGCATCTCAGGGGGAATTTAATTGGCGTCGAGTAAAGTTTTAGGGAACGACAATCCGCGTAATTGTTAATTTTTTTCAAGACTGTCGCACACGCATATATATATATATATATATATATATATATATATATATATATATATATATATATATATATATATATATATATATATATATATATATATATATATATATATATATATATATATGGGGGGCGCCAAACTGAATGTTCGCCCCGGGCGCCGGGAGGGGCCGCTACGCCTCTGGTTGAGATATGTGACTTGTGACTTAGAGTTGGTTGATGAGCTGTACAAGATGTGGCAGCGCTATGGTGTTCTATGTAGGAAATTAAGTAACAAATACGAGAGATCTGCTGATGCGGACAAGTTGACCGTTATAGTGTCACATCCTCATGGCTGTCCTAAACAGGTCTCTGTAGGACGATGGACACACAAACGTAAGAGGTATGGTGTTAAAGGTGAGCATTCTTACAATGATGACCCCTTGACCAGGTACTGGTACACAACATGTACATGTCCTGGCTCCAGTGGAGCGTGTGTCTACAGGCTGAGACATGACATGTTGTTCTATGACCATCCCCACAGTGGATCCAACTCTGAAGGAAATTATAGTGGGGAGTGGAGGTACTGATGTAACTGTTAGTTCTCTCCCCTTGTCTACACAATGTTAACAAACAAAATGGCGGAATTTTTCCCGTCGTTATGCTGATGGTGTCTTGTCTTACATTTCTTATCAACATGTATAAGAATGATCTAATTAAATGTTTTACTTCGTTAAACCATTGTAACATTGATATTTTTATTTTCATTTTTTTAAATTTTTATTCCTACCCTACAATCTGTACTGCTAATGCGTCCTATCTCTAATTTTTTATTTGTTTGTAAGAACCATAATTTGTTTACAAAGTATGACAAGTGTTTCGACAATAAATGAAAATTGTCCTGATGTATAACACTATTGTTTAAGAAAAATGTTTTTAAATAGAAATACAATCTTTTGATTTAATACAATCTTACCTTGTTCAGTTATTGCAACATTATCCGCTATGTTAAAAGTGATCTTGAGTTTGTTGGCAGCGTGATCTTTACAATACAATTCAAGCTTTACACCAGATGTGTTTACCTGACTAGAGTTGGGGAATGTAAAGACAGTTTTGTATAGATCTAGTGCTGGTTGTAATATCTTAGAGAAACGTGTCATCTTTTACGGTCTAGCCTAAAAAGGAATTTCAAAGAACAGGTGTGACGCACGAACCGTTTAACGGGACAGACGGCTAGAAAGATGACCGCATGAAACTGACAGTGTTTGTTTAGGATGTTTTCCTTCAGAGTGGGTGGGGGGGGGGGGGGGGGCTGCTTTAGATTTCCGGGGGTGGAAACTGGTAAGAGTATATATTTTCTATATAAATTCTTTCAGAGGGTGGGGTGGGCTCGAAGAGATGCCTCACAAAAACTCTGCTTCGGAAGAACGACCGCTCACTACACGGGGGGTTAGTAGAACCATCGGCTTATCATTTGGTTTGTGAGATGCGTACCTTGTTTGGAAATTAAATAGTAAAACTTGATATTGCGATGTTTGCTAACAATAGAGATTTGGTTATAGTTTTTTTCTTCCGTATACTAAAAGGTGAATCAGGTTCTTTAAATTTAAGCAACAAAGTTGTTTTGTGGTCAAAGGGAAATAACAATAAAAATGTTATCGATTTCTATGATATGCAAATTTGTCTTTCTTGTTTCTATCATTAGAAAATATAAATATAATGGCTGTAAATTTTTAATAGTTATGATATTTAAAAACTTTCACTATTTTTTAAGTCTTATAGCTAAAATATACAGGCCTATATGGGAAAATAAAGCTAAGTTGGTTAACATAATACTGCAGAAACACAAAATCAAGAGGCTAGCATAAGTAATTGGTTAGACCCTCAAAAAAATATGTTGTACATGTATGTTGGGTGCAATGCAAATGTAGTATGAATAGTCGAGATATATGGTCCGGAATTACTCCCAGGCTCCTCTTTATTCTTCACCAAAAATTTCATCTAATGCAAACCTTCCCCCCCCCCCCCCCCCCCCCACCTTCCATAAAATCCTAGGAAATAAGTCTTAAAGTAACATTGGTAAGGTCTAGATGTAGTTTGTGTAGTCTAGTTGTGATTTCTTTGTCTAGCTAGAGAGACTTTTAGTTTAAGGTAACGGTGTAAAGTTTAGAAACTAATTCAGCTTCTCTCTGAATTATTGACTTAATTTAGAACCTGTGTTTAGCGACACCATGAAAATATGTAGCGTTTAGGTAAAAAAAATACAAGCATTGCTGTGAGATCTTGGTACTTAGTGTCTGTGTATCATGTTGCTCTCTAAGCAGTCAAGAGGATTTCTTTTGATCTATATTCAGTTTAGACAGTTTCTGTACCTTGTTTGAGTATTCTATTCTCTCAGTCAATGTGACCATCCCTGTTTCTGGAACCTTATGCATTTACTACATAACGTTTTCAGCCCCCCCCCCACCCCCACTGTGTGTGTCCGTGTGTTCTTCTGTGACGCCCTGAATGTCATTCTAGAAGGCAGTTCCGAGTGGTGCAAAACTTGGGCACAATTCAAATAAACAAAAGGGGAAAAGGAGGGTGGGCCGGCCAAGGAAAACATGGAAGAGAACGGTAGAGGAAGAGGCGAAAACAGCTGGGCTCTCATGGGCACAGATTAGAGGAGCAGCCCAAAACCGAGTCCGCTGGAGATGTGTGGTTGCAGCCCTTTGCTCCCCAGGGGCCACAAAGGAGTGATGATGATGATGAACATAGATAACATCATTGTTTGATTTAAACATTAGTCAACGAAAAATTGTTAAACTATCATACCAGCCATTCTATAAAATGCATATCTTTTAAGGAAATTAATAACAGTGCAATGTTACATTCTTTTCCTATGCATTCTATACAGATCATAGTCACTACAAGGAATGACTGACACCCGACTGGACAAAGTGTAAAATGTCCACACTGACATTCAAATTAAAAACAAAATGTCTATAGTTTTTAAAACGTAATTGTTTCTCCCTACATCTAATAATTCCTCTAGCATTCAGAAGCCATACATATTCTGTACCTAAGTCGGGAAAAAAATTGAATATTTATACGCCTCATCTACCAAAGGATGATGTTCGTACTATTATGGTATATTACTATATAAATATATTGCATATTATTAAGTATTTTTATATTATTGTTATAACCGTATTGTATGTAATGATTCTTCTAGAATTCAAAAGCCATAAAGATCCTGTACTTACGTCGGGTAAAAAAATATGTGTAAACTGACTTTAAAATAATTAAAAACATCGGATTTTAATTATTTATGCGTCTCACCTACCAAAGGATGATATTCTTACTATTGTGGTATATTACTATATATTATTGTATAGTATTAAGTATTTTTATATTATTGTTTAAACCGTATTGTATGTCTGTAAAAACATCTGTGCTAAAAATGCAACCAATAGGAAATTTTGCTACATCCTATATTAATACCCCTTTTCACTCTTTGTAGGAGCAGATTAAATTTTTGTACAAAAGAGACCTGACTACCAGAGGCGTATCCAGGTTTTCGTTGTAGGGGGAGCGGAAATAGTAAAAAAAGGGCGCCGAATATGTAATATTTTCTATATAAGTATATATATATATATATATATATATATATATATATATATATATATATATATATATATATATATATATATATATATATATATATATATAAACACACTGCAACCAAAAAAACAATGAACGCGGCATAATCTGTTTCGTAATTTTTGTAAAAAAATTACATAATAATTCCTGGGATATTTAAGACTAGAGAAAAGGGGAAATAATCAATATCTTAATATAAATATGTATATGTCTACACATTTTATTATAAATATCAAAACAAATCAATAATTACTTTAGAATCTATAAAAGTAGCTTAACACTATTCGTTTTTAAAAAATTATATGTCTAAAATCAGAATTAAATATATTGTCATTATAAATGCTAAAGTATTACAGCATAATGAAAGTTTTTTAAATCAGAGTTATTATAAAAGCCAGCTTTTCACTCCACGAGTTAAACGTTCGGAATAATAATAATAGCCTACATGTAACATTAATATCGGTCTTACATTTCAAATTATGCAATTTTTTAAAATTGCTACTGACAAGTTGTGTTTTTTAAAGATAATTTTTTAACATAATGAGAAGTTATGGGTTAGATCACTGTATTGCTCACACACCTTTTACTGGTAATTGAAAAAACAATATTCACAGAGATTTACCGTTACGTTTCAAATGTGCCGACCAAAGATAATTTTTTAACAAATATCAATGTTAAAAACTTTGAGTTTAAAAAGTTTCCAAAAAGGCGCCAATTTGCTAAAAATGGCCAGAGATGACTGGTGACTACTTAGCCACTTGTGTGGACAGCTCTGAGCTAGAGAGTAGCTTTATAATAATAAAATACGCCGGTCCTGGACAGAGGTGAAGTTGTGACGTAGCTTTGGTGAGGTTTCTTTTCAACCGTTAGTAAAATGTGTTTATCAAGCAAACGACATAAAAAAATTGTATTTCATTTACTCGATCACAATATTAAAGATAGTAAATTTCTTTTATATTTGTTAATTATCAGTACTGCTGATTAGATTCGTTATGTCTTTTGTCAACAAAAAGCCTGTGTATCATCATGTTTTAATGCAGGCAGCGGCGTCAATAGGTTGGGTTACACCTGGTGCGGTGACCCTTGGTGTCACCTATCCATTAACGTACTAGAACTAGAGACAATCTGGTGTCACATCCCGTTCTTGATGGTGTTACTCTAGCCCTAATGTTGAATATAGCTTTAATAAGTTTTAATAACACAATTTAGATATTCTCACTATAATCTGCTACTTTTTATTTTAGCATCACCCATTTGGATGGTGTCATCATCCACCCCTCATACCCCCACCCCCACCTTGCTACGCTACTGATTAAAGGAATGTATTTAACTGTTGCAACATCAACTCTACTGTACCTAATGTTCACACTTAAATTTTGAATAAGCCATCCGTGTTGTTCAAAAATTAAATCATTTAGAATTTTCCATGCTATATCTCTCATCTACTGCGATATTTAAACGGCCCTACAAACGTGCATTCTGCGACACACTTCTGAGTGATTGTATATAAACACACCTGGTTAGATTAAAGGCATTAGATTGTGTATACATTTATCGACCTGCAGCTAACTTATAAAACCAATAGATCTTCACCGACATGAGTATCTGCATGCTGTTATCTATGTTGACCGCTCACTGGGTGAGTACTCATTTACATTACTGGGTTAGTTTTGAAGAGATAATTATAAAAATAATAATAGCTTTTATAATCACAATAAAAGTTTCGCTATTATGTTTGTCTGTCTGGAACATCAGGAAATCATAATAATAGTTACGATATTCTATCCGTCGGTACCGCTCTAGAGAAAACACAAGGACATTTAAAAGATGCAAAGTAAAAGACCGTGACTTCACATGGGACATGTAGGAAGTTTTCAAAGCCGAAGGAAATATGTACAGTTCTAAACGAAATACAATTTATATAGAAGATATGTACTTTTACCAATGTCAGCCTCCCCTTCCTACATAGAATTTAATCCGCCCCCCTCACTAAAAAATGCAAGTGACCCCCCCCCCCTCCACCGGGAGAAAAAAAAACATTTGAAATAATCACTATTTACATGAGGCCAAAAGTAGAAAACGGCTCTAGATTATAGAAATAGGGCACACCTTCAGTCTGTATGATCTACAAATGCGACCAGTGTTTCTTCCAAACGTTATTCTCACGGGAGGAGGAAGGGGTACGTGAAATTTTCAAGTATGGGGGGGGGGGGGGGGGGGGTGGACTAAATTTTTCGGGGAGAAGGTCGGACACAGGTAAAAAATATATTTTCTAAAAAAAAAATCTATTTTGTTATTGTGACACTCTTTGGGCGGCCCCCCCCCCTACCTCACTCCTCTCGGAAGAGTTACCTAAAAGAAACTCTAAATGTGGCTTTTGTCAAGTTTGATCTTAGGTGCGACGTTAAGGGGTATGACTACGACTATATTTAGTATGAATAAGAAGTAACCGAGTAAATAAAAGATCGGGTTAAAATGTTCATTCTGTTTGAAAATCCGTTTCCAATGCAATTTTTCGTTTCCGGTTAAATTTGAAGTTGAGGTGGTGATTTTAGTTTTGGTTTCATTTAAAGAAAAAGACAATACTATCATTATATCGCCCGTTGTATTTCTCCCTCAACGGGCTGTTTATCTAGTATATGTATAAACATACTATTTAAATTAAATTTTCATATTAAATATAAATAAAGATAAGCTACTTTAGCACGCATTTGATAGGCTACCAGCGTCAAGTATGTTCTCCTCTGTCTATTTTTACAGGCTACAGCCATGCTAAAGCTGTTTTTATTGTTTGCGGTTGCCGTGTCATCAGAAGCGGCCAAACAATGCATTAATATCGTGCCTGGACTATCTAAAATTGCCGTGGGTGTGGACATAGCGCAGCTTGACCTGTTACCTCTAGACTTTACAAGCAACAATGGGATCCTGAGTCCGATAATTCCACTGACCTGTGACCAAGGGAAAAAGTGGAAGAGTCCGAGGGGAATTTTGTACGATATGCCTGATCAAGTATGAAGAAGGATTATATTTAAACATGTCTTGTCGATATTTTAAAATGTAGTTGACGTTGTGCATGGGGCGGGATGGTCGAATGGTAGAGCGTTCAACTGATAACCCTGAAATCTCGATTTTTCCCTCCCCCCCCACACACACAAACACATTTACAAAAGCGTAACATGTCCTAGATGTCGGTATACTTACGTATTCCTACTCTTACTGATTTTGTTGACGGTTTTAGCGTTGGTAAGTAATTGTAGAAAAAAAAAGAGACTCAAGTGTAAATTTGTGTTATCTCCCTAAAGCAAAGATGTATGAGTATTCCATTTTTTTAAAAAATATTTTGCCGTAGTCAAGTTTTTGATATTATTTTAGAGAGCATGCCAGAACCCCACTCTTCCGCATTCCAAAGAAGATGGGCAAAACTACAGATCTGCCATTTTGTTTATCGGTTATCTACTTTCAGCCTAGTTTAGACTTGGTTTTTGAATTGTACGCTAAATAAGAACTTTTTTATCTGTATATCTTTTCGGAAACACAATATTTCCTCATTAAATTGCTAGTTATTGAGTAAACAAATTATTTTTGAAAATGTATGCAAAAATCTTTTAGAACGTCATCCTGAAATAAAAAACAGTCGGAAATGTAAAAAAAAATATACAGATCTACAAATAATGTTGAAAGACAATTTTATTAATTCGACATTTACTGTACGATAGTGTTGCGAGCGAGTTAGAGACTTAGTCGACCATCAATCAAAACGCAGATTCATCAACTCCAACAATCTGAGACACATTACTTGAAAGGATCGTTGTTTTATTTCATTCTTTATCGCACATGACATCTAATTGATAGGTACGGACGACGACATTCACAACGTGTATAAAGGCATGAGTACATTCACGACAACTTGACGAATGCCTCTACACTCTGCTCAACAAATCGCAAACTGCCCTAACCCTCTTCCTCCAGCAACAAGATCCTACTCTCACACTTCACATCCTTACGTACCTCATCATACAGTCACACTCTTTTATTAATATAAAATCATTCTACAACACACATACTCTCAAACTTTTGCAACACACCAAGATACTATTCATAAACGATACTATTTTTATAAATGCCACATTAAACTGACTAAAATTAAATTACAATACAATTTTAATTGAGCAGATTTGGACAATCACAACAGCGCCAGGTGGACATACGACCTCTGAAGTCAACACATTTAAGTCCTACAATGACGTCAGAGAATCCATGAGTGTCAACGCTGGTCTCGATGTAACTTAGGATTTTACGCTTTCTCGGCAAGTTTTTCCTACAGGAAACTGCAGAGTTTAATCACCAGCAGTTCAAAGTACATGTCTGAAGTTACAGCTTTTGCTGGGGCGATCCGTGCCGATGTCAACGCAGCGGAGAATTTAGAATTAGATACATTTACACAAAGTTACATTGATCGTTTTCTGACAGACACCTACGAAAGTAATCCCGATGCTTATAATAAATTTATTGAGACTTACGGTACGCATTACTTCGCTACAGGAAAATTTGGAGGCTATGTCAGGATGATGTTCGAGGCTTCACAAGACTACTACTCATCTCAAACGGAGATCCAAATTGAAGCCAATGCTAGAGCGTCTTACATGCTAGCGGTTTCTGTTAGTGTCGGAACCTCCAACACAAATCAAAAAGTTGACGAAACTTTTAAATCCAACACTAATAAAACAATCAAGTACTACGGAGGCAACACCAACCTGCTCAATGACCAACCAGATTTCTCAAAATGGCTCCCAACTGTAGAAAATGATCCGTGGCTATTCTCTGGCAATTTGAAACCAATCAGCAACTTGTTTAGAAACGCAACAAAGAAGGCGTCTATGGTGGCAGCAGTAGAGAACCATTTAATAAGAAGTTATTTAGGAGAATTGCAATATCTTATAAATGTAGCCAAATCTAAGTCTGATAATTTTATAATCAGAAGATTCTTGACTACATTGAATGATTTGAAAGCTACAAAAGTTATTCCCAAACCTGCTGTTGAAGGTTTATCTAGAGATCTACAAGAATTAATGTCCGTTCCCAAATGGTTTCTAACCTCCACCAAGTTATGTTTGCATTGGTGGCCTACCGGCGATCGAAATCAATGTGGAGGAAAAAATGATCCTCAAGACTTTTGTGCTAATATCAACTCAATGACTGAATGGTACCATGACAGTACTGACCAACGAAGCGGAGGTTGTAAGATGCAATGGGGAATCTACTCATTGGAGCCTAACCCACCAGAATGGCTGCACAAAATCAAGATATGCTATCAGTGGGACCTAGACAAAAGTATTAAAGACGATAAGCAATGCGGTATTGGCAAAGGATACAATTACTGCGGAAATATCAACTCGTTGTCTAATGAATATCTCGACGATACGAGCCAAAATAGGGGTGGTTGCAAAATTCGGTGGATGCTTGAAATCCCTGGCCGCGTCCCATACTGGATGAAAGTGTTACAGGTTTGTTTCAAGTGGGAGGCTGAAGGTGAGGCGGCACAATGCGGAGGCGGCGCCCCACCATACCAGTGTGTTCCGGCCACCAATTGGACCGAGTATTACGTCGATTACACAGACGACAGAGCAGGCGGCTGCAAGCTGAGCTGGGGTTTAAAGACCTCCTATTAGTTTCTAACAAAACTTCGTGAACTTAAAAGGAGGGTTGAAGAAGTACCTCAAGCACATTTGTGAAAACCACAAAGATAGGTAAATTGCTCACCATATCATAAATTATAGAAAAATAAATTGAAACTCATCAAATTATGAAAATAAATTGTTGTTTTCTTTCTTTCCAAGTCTAACTTTCGTAGAAATTCAAGTAGTTTGTGTTTAGCAGCCTCCCACCCATACTACCTAAACTCGTCCAGTCAATGACTTTTGGATTGCCCATTTTTTTTGCATTGTATAAAATTCTTTGATTTTTCAAATCAGAACAAAGATTTAAGCTAAAGACTCAACTCCGCCCACTCTATATTTAATTAACTCAACATTACTAAATCCATTGACTATTTGAGTGCATTTTCTATTTAAAAGTTTAAGGTTCTCTTTCAGATAATAGGGATGAAATTAAATCATTTTTTTCTTTGAACTCGCCATACAAGAATAAAGTGGTTAGCATTATGTCCAACCCTTTTACTTTCCTTAATTTTAGTCCGGTATCAGTCAGAGCTGGACGGATTTGGGACATTCAACTGGCTCGAGCACAGTTTCCAAACTCGAAACATTCGGTGTACAGTCGTTGTCTCTATCATCTGACCACGCCATTATATTGAACGTCTTAAAACATAAAAGTGGTCCAGAAGGCCATACCCGTGGGCAGTGGCTTAGCTACCGTATAGCTAGAGTAAGCAAGACATACGGGCCCTATTAGCGAATTAAAAGGGGGGGGGGGGGGGGCGAAATGACTGTATTCATAGGTCCCCGATTTTTAGGGGCCCAAAATATTACCGCTTAACTGTTTGTTTTCATTATAATGTTTTAATGTTTGCATCACAAACTTCAATCAAGCTTTTATTTAACTCACTTCCTCGTCAGTCGTCAGTCTGTCTAGATCGAAACGCACGAGTGAAAATTCGGAAACTTCTACTTGACCGATACTATTCACATTTGACACGTGGGTCAAGACATGAAGACAATGCAATCTGAAATTAAATTTGACTTAATTGGATGCCTAATTAATGTTTTATGAATTAATTAAAATTTGGACCGAATTAGTAGGCATGTCTTGCCAACCAGACTACACGCGTCATCACGTTCAATAGCTACGCCATCACGGTACGTTCAATAGCTGCGCCATCACGTTCAGTAGACGCGCAATGGTTTTTAGTCATGTAACTCTATTGTAAATAAAACATGTAAAGTACTGAAAAAAAATTCATAAAAAACGTTTTAATAACAAGCTTTTATGTAATAATGCTCTAAAAAGTAGAAAATAAATTATAGACTACTATTTAAATTACTATAAAGAAAAGCGTGGGTGTCTTCTCAAATATTAGTAAAGGTATCCAATCGGTACTAAAGTACGCTATGGTAACAAAAATATTTTAAAAATAATGCTGTAAGGGTCTACACTATCAAGTAGTTCTCAATCGCAAGCATTCAGACAACATAGGCTAACCCTAGCAATCAATGAAAACATTACTAACCGTCTTTAAATCGTGTTAAAATGACAAGCCATTTCATTCACCAAGGCAAAAAATTTGAGTTGTTCCCCATGAAAAAACTTCAAAACTACCCGCCCCTCTAATGTCAAAATCCAATATCGTCATTTTCTGCTCGGAAAATGTCGATATAAAGCGAAGACGCTCCCTGAAATAGTATACATTTTATTTCTGGTATACAATTCGGTTGATTAACTAGTTTCATGAAATAAAACATTTAATCTTAACAAAATGGGGTAGAAATTTTTTTTTTCATGTGAATGTTTGAAGGATCCGTCTAATCGCTCACAATTGGCGCTTTAAAACAAACGTAATAGAAAATGTGTAGACCTACTGATCCGGCTTTTTGCACCTTTCGAAATCATACGTTTTAAAAAGGTAGTAAGTGACCTATGTTTTGAATTTAGTTATTTGAAGTAAAAGATTAGTTAGCGTCAACGAATGTAAAATAATGATCCTATTTGTTTCTTACAGTCTAAATATATGTTGCATGTCTAGACCATACGCTTATTTCCCTTTAAAAGTATGAGAATCTTTTTCACACAGGAAAACTTACAGTAGTTGTCCCTTAATCGGACATAAACGCCCAATCTCTACAGTGCGAACTCTGTAGGTTAGCTGTCATCGCTTCATGTCAAACAATGTTTTTTTTAACGTGAGCTCTCTCTCTAAAATAATAAAATACGAACAGTAAGTAAATTACATTAGGCTAGCTTACTTAATCAGAACTGCAAATGTATAGTGGACTAACCACACGTACCAAAATAGTATAAAGTAACATATCTATTATTTAAAATAATAATGTATCTAGACAAGCAGCACTTTAACTCTCACATGTTTACAACAATTAGAAAAGGTATAGAGTATAGAGAGATGTTTTCAAATCTTTTGTTATCTGAATCTAATTTTCACATAAATAAGATTTATAAAAGATAAGTTATTATCAAGAACAATTTTAATTGTACTGTAGTTGTAATATCAGGGTGTAACCCGTTTATCCTGGATTTGTACTCTTCGGGTAATAGAAGTTGTAATTGAATCAATGACGGAACTAGAAAAAAAGCAATGTATAAAGCAATGTATGTTTGTGTGTGTGTGTGTGTGTGTGTGTGTATGTGTGTGTGTGTGTCTGTCTGTCTGTCTGTCTGTCTTTTATGCATTACTACACCTCTCATAACATCGCCGTGAAACTTTGGAAAGTTGTTGAGAATATTCCTGGGGAGGTTTCTGCGGGAAAAAAATTTCAAATTCGCAGGGGTGGCGCCCCGGCAGGGCACGATTTGTTTTTTTTTTCTATATGCGGTATTTAACAAAAAATATTTTGGTTTGACAGCGTTCATCCGATCGCCATCAAACTTTGGTGAGTTCATTAGAACTCTCTGGGGAAGGGTTCTGTAAAAATATCATATTTAAATTCGCAAGTGCGGCGCCACCGGAGGGTGGGATTTTTTTCTGTGTACGGTATATAAAAATAATAAAAGTGAATTGCAGTGACACCGTTCACACGATCGCCGTGAAACTTTGGGAAGATGTTGAAAATATTCCTGGGGAGGTTTCTACTAAAAAAAAAACAGTTTTAAATTTGCAGGAGGCGCCATGGGGAAAGTTTCTGTAAAAAAATCATTTTTAATTTCGCCAGGGCGTGATTTTTCTCTAAATACTGTATATAAAAATAAAGACCATTGCGGTTCGACACACTTTATCTCGGTGCCTTAAAACTTTAGGGAGTTGATGAATACTCCCGAGGAGGTACGCGGCGCCTATGCTGTAGTGAAAGCGGTCACCGAAGTGTGTTCTACCTCATTATTTCGATGAGTGATTAATGTACACTCAAGGTTTCCATGCGGCAGTGTAGGTAAACCTGTATCCCGATATTTATGATCCAAGCGCAGGCATTGTTTACATTTAAATAACTCACTTCCAGAAAACAAGGCCACGCGTCTAAGAATATAGGATCGGTAACGCATGGATGAAACCCTTCATATATATTTGGTCGGACTTTCTTCTGTTCCCGCGGCAACGCGCGGGGATGTGTACGCTAATATATATATATATATATATATATATATATATATATATATATATATATATATATATATATTTATATTTATGTATGTATTTATGTAAATACATAGAGATGCACCCAAAAATTTGCGTCGGGGGCCCTGCTTAATCCGCCCCTACTGGGCCCAAAGAACCTAAGGGCCCTTTTCCCTTTTTTAAGAAAAATTAAAACTTACATTCGAATTTTAATATTTATGTTATATAAATAATTTTAAAAACTCAATGGAAATCCAATTTTTTTCTGCTGTAGAAATGAATAAAAATTTCAAATAGAAACCACTTGTAATTTTTGCATAGGGACCTAAAAGTCTTAGCC